CCATCTTCATACTTTAGCATTCTTCTTCTAATTTACTCTATATATAATTAAGCTCTTAAGCTTATTTCATCTCGTGTTTACTTTCCTCAAAGAACAATTATCTTAAACTTACGATTCTGAACAAATTCCAATAATTTCTCCTTAAAATAGGTATATTTTGAAGTATTACCTTCTGTTGACATTTTTGTTCTTCAGTAGGATCATCCGTCTTTCGATCCTTGTACCTCTCAGAGCATAGATCATAGTCTTAATGATTATACATCCATCCTTCTTAACCTAATCCTCGACCTCTAAACTCAATAAGGTCATCCTCCCAGTATAAGAATGATTACACCTAAAAGTTCTTTCATTTTCTTTAGATTCCTAGATTGATCATAGTGTTTCTCCTATTTATCATCGGGCAGGGTATATATAAAATAAAATCCTTAAACCATTGCTACGTTTGATACCCCATTATCTTACCTCTAACTTACTTATCATACTGACTAAACTATTAGTCTTTACTGTTCCTTTACTTATGCAAGAGATCTCCTCCTTTAAAAGGATTACATTTTATATCCTCCATTAAGAGTTTGATTTATAAATTCGTGACTTAAGTCCTCAAAGTTTCAATCATAAGTCCTAATAAATCTGCCTTAGATTGGCCTCACAACCAAATTTTTCTTAATAGATAAACACTATCCTTAATTGGTTTGCTCCACTCTTGTTGTGATTTCCTTCTTACAACGCATCTTGATTTGGCACGTAAATCATATTATTTCAATTTCCTTGCTTCATAATATCTAATAATGAGTCACACTTTGACTCTGAGGTTTCTTATATTTCTTAAGCTGTAATCCCGTTTATCAAGAAATTTCACCTACTTAAGTTAATCACCTTGAGTAGATACATAGATGAGCACCTTTATTACTTTATTTTGATCACATATCTCTATTCATGGTCACCTTAGTATCTTATCGACTTGGCACATCTAATCCATGATTTTCTAATGGATAAGCTTATGACAGTGTATTGTCACACCTTAATTGCCTACTATCTTACGTCATCACTTGTTTTCGTCCAATTGATACTTTACTGCAAAGGTAACTTTTACCTTTATCATCTTTACCTAATGCAATCTTAATTCTTTTAACGAATTTTAAACAAATTCGTAACTGTATTCTTCAATCATACATAGGGCAAGAATATCTCCTATTTAGGTTGTTATAGAGGGATTAGTTTGGTCAGAAACTAACCTAGAACAACCTCCCTCAATATGTCCATGACCTTCGGTGTTCCTTTCTTATCCCTTAAACTACTAATTACATCCAAACTCATTGCATTGGTTCTTATGCCTATATCCAAATGAGATTCTCAGTATCTCGAACATCTTTTGCATTTTGTCTTAACTTAAAGCCTTTGTGCGTTATTTATCATCACGTTCATACACATAGGTACTTTCTATGAGATTGCTAAACATTTTAAGGCTAGCAATTATCGTGTATCATATCTTAAGTGAGTTGCTTAACATCTACCACAAGCTAGTATTGCTTAATATTGAAGCTTTATTTCCTATACTGTATCTGGATATACATAGATAGTCGTCGAACGTGGCCCACATCTAACTTGACGGGGTTACATCATCCATCTACTTATTAACGTCGTCTTTATGCTACATATTCAGATCCTCTTCATGGATCCATGCTGAAAAGCTGCTTCTAGCAACGCAGTCACACGTGCTTCCTCAAAAGGAATCTCGGTAGTTGTTTCATTTCAAACTGCTGTACGTGGCTCTGATATTTTGCTTGGCTTCAATACTTT